TGAAAAAGATCACTACATTCGAATAAGAAATGTCTTTGGTATCTCTAATCTGTATTGGTGGGGCTCCAGCTGTAAGCAAAACGATAATGATCACTCAGTGTTCAACTAGTTCGTTTACCGCTGCTTGAAAATATAAAAATCATTCAATGAAATAATTAAAATAATCCTAGCTTTGCACCATACCTGTTGTGCACACAACCCCTCCATCGTTTTCTTTACACGTCTTCGTTTGTCCCCATCCTGGATGGCGACAGTCAACGATCGAGTTCTCTGTTCCATTACACTCCAGGTCACTCAGCCAGATAATGTCACTTGAGAGAACAAAACTATTAACCGGATACACCTTTCTTGCCCCGGTATATCCGAGCATACGACAAATCACTTTAGCATCATTGATGTCTAGTCCCTTGTTACATATTGTGCCCCATACGTTACCATAGCGAACAGCGACACGGCCAGAGTTGGGTAAACTTCCGTCTTCTAAACGAATTTGCACTGGAGGAGGATCTATAAAGGATGTATGCCAAAGTTCAATAAAATTACAACAAGAAAATAACACAAACTTATCCCGTTATTTGATCCAGTATACAATGAGAACGAGTTTGCGTTATCTATTATTCTTGCTAGGCATCCTATGTAAGCTAGTAGCGGAGAAAAGCGTTTGCGCATGCGTGCCTTTCAGCATGTTTTCCAAAAACTTAGAAAATGTTTCATGAAGGATAAGTGATAGCGATTATATTTCTCCATATAAAGACATTGTAATCCATTACGAGTTCTCGATTGTGTACAAATGTATTATTTTCTTTAATTAAGGTCCATTGAATAGCTAGGAATTTATGTACTACTGAACAATACAAGTTAATCAAATTTACACTGGTTTTTGGTTGAATGGCTGAATATTTTAACGTACAACTGAGGCTAAGGCTGAGCAAAAGAAAACTCGAAACTGGATTCTTACTCTCTAGGCTAGTACGATGACAATACATCGATTACTACCAAACGTTTTCGGCTTTATCAAACCATCTTCAGGGATAAGCCGTACTGGTTCTTAAAAGAGACAATGAAATCATTGTTCTATATAAAAGGTTTTAAAAAATGACATGCGTTTCGGCTAGTTCTTCTTCTAAAGAAGACTAAAGAACTAGCTTAAACCGCTAACACTTTCTAATTTAAATTATATACAATACTTTCATAATATAGACTTTATGCTATACATTATATGTGTACATTTAGTACTTCGTAATGAATCCGTATACGGTTTCTTTTTGAAGACGGTTTAATAAAACCGAAAACGTTTGGTTGAACATCAATGTCTTGTCACCTTTTACAAGCCCAAAAAATAATGGAAATGGGAAAATGTAATCACTAGTTTCCCTCCTGCCATGGTATTACTTATAATAAACGGTAGCTTTGGAGGAAATTCTTCGTCCAGAAGTAGATGTAATACCTTTATTTATTACGCACACAACACCGGCATAGAATTTTTCATGGCACTTGGTATTGGACCATCCACGATGAGAACATTTACCGATGGATAATTCATCTCCGCTACATACCACACCACCCATCCACGATCCATCCTTTCCTATACTATACTTCTTTATTCCAGCTAAAGCTGTCTCATAACCGAGCATTCGACACGCCACGATAGCTTCTAATATACTCCACGAGTCATCACAGACTGGTCTCCAAGTTCCATTATACTTGACTTCAATTCCACCAACATTTTTTTGTTTCTTTTTCACAAGGCGAACAATAATGGATGATTCCTCTAGGAGATAATAATAATTATATATAAAAAAAGAAAAGAAAAACAAACAAACAAACAAAACAAAAGAAAAAAAAAAGCAAAAAAAATCAAAAACAAAAAAAACAAAAAGAATATTATCTATTACTATTATGTTATCTATCAGTAAGATAAGCATGCGGCAAAACGTACCTTGTGTCGTCATTTCACATTTCACACCTGCATCTCTATAATGACTGCAGTAATTGCGACCCCAGCGGATATCAGGGCAGTGTTCCAGTGATTTCTCGTTACCGTTACATTTTAAATTGTCCAGTAAAACGAGGCCACTTCCTTTAAGCTTAGCGACACCAGCCCAAGAAGATCTGCTGTAGTTCAACATGCGACAGACTACGTGAGCATCGCGTAGTCCCCATCCACCAAAACTACACACTGTTCCCCAGACTCCATAGTATCGAACCTCTACTCGGCCTTCATTTGGAGTACTTCCATTCATCAAACGAACAGCTAAATTTGCACCCTGATCTGAGGTAGTACAATTTGCAAGGGAAAAAATACAGCATCTTGTTACATTCGGCTGCAATAGTTTGCTTTCATAGGTTGGATCTGTCTTTTAAAGCTGGGAATGCTCTTCTGGTGCATATGATTTTGGGAAGTACAACTGAATCGAACACGAAGAGGCGAGATGGTGTAGCAATCCCACAATCACATGTACCCATAGCAGTTATAAATCTCTTTCTGACCTTCGATCCGCAAATAAAGGTCTTGATTGTATCTTATGAATATAAGAAATAAGAATCATTATGTTTATTTGACCTTAAATCGCTTAAATAGAAGCAGTAAAAATAAAGGTACCAACCGTTGTGTACTTTGCATATGACTGCAGCATTGTAAAACCTTCTGTATTTGTTATTCATCCAGCCATGATGATAACATTCACTAATCGAATGTTCATCGCCATTACATCCCAGACCACTCAACCAGAATCCTCTTTGCCCAACACTGAACCTTGGAATTGCTACAAGCGCTCTATTGAAACCGAGCATTCTGCAGATCACGTGAGCGTCTGATATGTCCCAAGTATCATCACAGACTGGTATCCAGGTGCCATTGTAACGCACTTCTACTTGACCAAAGTGACTTTGGCCTCCGGTAAGACGAACTTGTACATCGAAGGAAGATTGATCTTAAAAGCATAATGAAGTTTTTTCAGCTCTCTCATATTTGTAGGAAAGTTTGTTGTTGGTGCTGATGCTGGTGCTGATGCTGATGCTGATGCTGATGCTGATGCTGATGCTGATGATGGTGATGATTATGACGAATATAATCATAATGATAATAATAGAATAATGATTGTAAAGATTAGAACGAGGACTGATATTTGATATATGGGTCATAATATTGGTAGTCATCCCTGGTTAAGTGGTGACAATTGAGTCAGTAAGCATATTAATGAACTTACATATCATAGTAGCAATTACTTTAAAAGGGAATGAAAATGACACATATTACGTAAAGAGAAGCTAGTGAAATAAAATAAAACCTGTCTTCCTGGTAACCCTTACGAATTCGTTCTACCTGTGTAAACAAATTACTTGCTTAAATTAATTGCTTGCTTGCTTCAGTGCTTGCTTGCTTGTGTTAAAGAACGGGGAAGTCTATAACTTGAACGGCTCGAGTACGAGCCGCCATCTTTAATAACCACGAGGAGAGGGTGGGCTCGCCCCAGTCCCTGACTACATTGTACACTACCGACTACATTATATATACATAAAGGTAGCCCTTACTATGACAGCTTGCTTGCTTACCGGCTTGCTTGCTTACAGCAATCATGGTAATACTAATGATTCTAAGTCAGGATGATCATAGTGGCTCTGATTATAGTGGTGTGGCAATATGGGTGATAGTAATCAAAAACCCTAAATCATTAAAGTTAAATACTTACGTTTTCTGTCTTCACACGTGACATTTGCATCTTCACCATGGTGACAGTCGTGTTTCCCCCAAGGCTTCTGTCTACATTCTTCCAAAGACCTTTCCTTTCCATTGCACATTAGATTGTCCAGTAAGATTGGTCCACTACCTTTTACTTTCACAGTTCCTGCCCATAATGCTTTGCTGTAGTTCAGCATACGACAGACCACGTGAGCATCTGCTAGGTCCCAGTCATCATCGCAGACTGTGCCCCAGATTCCAAAGTATCGAACCTCTACTCGGCCTTGATTTCTGGTTCTTCCATCCACCAGACGAACAGTTATGTTTGGGTCGAGCACTATGAAATATATTTTCCAAGACTACATTTTTCCCGACAAGCCTTTTTCGTGAATCGCTTCACTCTTCAGGAGGATTTAATGATAAGAATATTCGTGGCTATCRTATATATATATATACACTTATTTCAATAAAGTTAGTCACCAAAATCCTAGAAAGCTGAGATCACTGAGCATCATGGGAAACTTTTCATATCAAAGAAGCATATATATATACAAAGCTTTTTTAATACAAACTACAGCTCGATGATGCTCAGAAGAGGTGAGACTGTAACCGGTAAAAGGTTCGTAAGTCCATGAACAGTTATCAAGCGGTTGAACGTGTAAAATGAATCTACCCATAATCCTTGTCGGCCTCAGCTTTATAGCTTTTCGGGTGACTAACTTTATTGAAATAAGTGTATGTATATATA